GTTGATGGTTTTAATAATTTGCTCAGCTGCTTGTAATGCTTCTGCACATTTGAAGACATGTTGAATATCTTCCGTACAAAATATTATATTGTATATTATAAATCTTTTAATATAAATAAGTTAAATAAAATTTTTTGAAAAGAAAAATTATATAAAAAAACTATAAAAATTAAATAGAAATAAAAATATAATAAAAATAAAAATATTGTTTCTTGAAATAATTATTTAAATTATATATAGATTAATAATAAAGAATATATTTGGATTGAATAAATTATATGATAAAATAATTTTAATATAAAAAATTAATTTTTTATTTTATTTTATTTTTTTCAAGTTATTGTTTAATACTTTTGCAAATATTAAATCTCTTAAAACAGATTATTGTTAAAACATTAAGAATTAATCTAAACTTTAAAATCCTTACTGTTTTAAATTAGTTTTTGATTTATGTTTTACTTTTCAAAAAAACAATTTTTTACAAAAGAAAATATTATAAAAAAAAGAGTTTATATAATATCCGAATAATATATTTACATTAAAACTTTAAAAAATTCAAATTTATTAAAAAAATCATATTATTTGACATGGATTGACAAGTAATAAAAAATTATATATTGTATTTAAATTTGATAGTTATTTTTGTATTTTTATTTTATTATTATTATTATTTCTTTAATTGATTTTTCTAATATATTTTTGAATTTTTTTTTTTAAACTGAAAATTATTTTAATTAGAGATTGCTTTTATTAAAGATAATAACAAAATTTGCAAAGTGTAATTCTTTGTTGTTAATTTCGATTACAATTATTTAAGCATGCATCCAACATAATATGACATGTTGTTTACTATTGTTTACTGACCCCTTACTTCAAAAATAAGCATCATTAATTTACAGTATGTTAGTACATAAAGAGGATTGTCACCATATTTGATTACACTTAAATTGTAAATTCAGAAAGAATGATATCATTATAAATGTACAATACATTTCTCGATTAAGAAAGATGACGAACATCTCGCTTTAACAGGTGAAAAGTTTAAACGATTTTTGAATTGAGTTTATTTTTTAATTGCTTGTATCGCCTGCACTCAAGAAATCCGTACATTAACGATAAATTTATGTGTTCACCGTTTAATTTTTTGAGGCCAATATCCTCTTTGCTACTTGGGCCACTATATTTTTAGGGGCTCTTCCGATGTCTAGATTCAGTTCCTTCATAACTTTTCCCAAGTTTTCGGTTCCACCTTTAATGCCAATTTTTTGAATAACGTTCGTTACCTCGACCTCAATTTCTTGTTCGGACATTTGTTGGGGTAAATAGGATTGCAAGATTTCCAACTCCAGCTTTTCATTTTCCACGAGATCCGTGCGACCAGCTCGAGAAAACTGATCGATGGATTCTCGGCGGCGTTTAATTGCTCGATTAATTATCGGATAAATGTCCTGATCAAACGAGCCAATTTGTGGTTTTGATGAAGAGGTGGAGGATTCGGACTTCGTTGCATAGGTGACATCCGAGAGAATGCCCTTTGATAAATTGATGTGGTCAATAAGGAAACATCATGATGAAAACGGTATCACGTCTCCTAATAAAGATTACCCTAACAACATTCAGTTTCACTTGATCCTTATTTCTCAGCGCATGTTTTACATCACTTTTCAACCTTGTCAGAAGAGGAGATACCCGTTCTACCCCTAGAATGTTTAATGATCATCTTTATGGTAAGTAAGTGGTTTTTTTTAATGGAAGAATGAAACATCATTCGGTTAATACCTTCGGTAAGATTATTAGTGGTAGAATAATTTCTTGCGTGAAAATAAATTCTCGGAGAGTAGAAGCAGGAAGAAGAACGATGATTAGATGAAATTAAGGGCCGAATGTGGGAATTCAAGACTCCGGCATTGTGACGGCCTAACAAACGGCGAGTCCAAAAAAAACGTGAACACATTTTTCAATCATATACGGCAGATCATATCGTATGATGATAAAATAGTTTGTCCGTATGCAACCAATTAGCGTTCATACGTAATTATGCAGATCAGGAGGATTGGATATCGATTACGTATGATCACCATCGAGAAAAGGGTCATCCCTTGTTCATGAGGTCGAGGTGACAATTATTGTAAACAGACAGGAAATTCTCTTTTTTTAAAAAAAAAAAATTTCCAGAGCTATTTATATCTTTCCAGTAGCAATAATGATAATTCACGGCTCAAGAAACTCATGCTTAGCAAGTGATAAAAACACGGCATAGAGATGGGATGTGGCTTGTCGGGGCTCTTGCTATATTCGTCAGCTTGCGGAACTTCAAATGATTAAATTCGCGTAACACGACTGATTTATCTATCAAATCAATACGTGTTCTTTCATTCTATCATACATACATACAAAATATATGTACAGGGTTCACAGATGGCATTTCTAAAAAAGTTTGTGAAAAAAGACACCTTTCCGACAGCAGTAAGACCGAGCTGGAGATACACGTACGTACACCTACAATCAGCGCTAAATCTCGCGATATTACGTAACAAAGGTTTGCAAGTTTCTTTGATAGCATCTAGCATTGATTGTTACGTACATTTCACAATCGCGCATTTATTGAGAATTACCCATCTGAGCCTCTCACTGAGCCTCTTCCAATGATGACGGTGTGTGTGGTGAGACCGTACGCGATCCGGAAAGTCGCCTTTAGCTGCGTACTGATACCGCGCCGGAATTTTTTTATTTTTGTGCATATTTTTGTAAGTCGATTAATTCTTTTTTGTATGGGTATCACATTCGTGTAAGCAACATTTATTATGACTGTGGCATCTAAAAGAAAAATCCAAGAGAAAAGAGGATAATCTATTCTCGCCCCAAAACAAATAAAGCAGAAAACTTGTTGGGATTTGCCACTTCCAACAGGTTTTACAGGAAAGTTTTTTCCAAACGCGTAAAAAAGTGACGGTATTTGCTGGAATAATTTAAAAAAAGAAATCTTTATATAATCGATTTATTGGGTGATTTGTTTTACCTTCCCTACTTGTTATCGATATTCGTGACGATTGTACCCTCGCGCTCAGACTCTTTGAGTGATTTTGATGGCGTGCCGGTGAAGATTGCTGATATCATGGTGGTGGACACCCTTTTTTTTTTTACCTGTCTCCCGGACCATTTAAAGAGAGAGAAGGATTCACTGAGAAGGAGAAAAGACGTGAACTTGTATATTTATTTATTGTATCTGCTCATCAACCCACACCTCTTTTTATCCTTTATTTAGCGCCACAACTGAAAGAAAAATTACATGCAGGAAAATTTGATTATGAATAATCCATTCTGAAACCATTATTACATTGTATTGTAAGCTATATATATTTATATCTGGTTTTAGATTTTATAAAAAAGTTCCGACGATATACTAAAGTAAATGATTTATGTTATCGTTCCGTGTAACATCGGACTGGTATTTGCTTTACTAAATCGATTTATTCGTACACCAGACCACAGTTGACACCCCGTTTTTTTGTTCTGCTTTCTAAACTCCCCCCAACTACATTCTTAGCCTTTTGAACGACCGCCCTCCCGACAACGCTTCTCCCCTTTTTTGTTGTTATTCACTTTCGCGTCACACTGTCTGTTATCGCGTGTTTTATCCTTTCCTACTTTCTCCTCTCCCACCAACGCGGCTTATTATTATTTTCGTTATCTTTATCCCTTTTGTCTTGGCTGTAAAAGTGTGCTGTTGTTCTCTTGATCTCTGGCACCCTGGACATGCTCTCTGTTTTCTCATCAACATACCCCTAGTACACATACCTCTCACCTGTCTTATGCGAGGTCCCTTCTTTGCTTCTTATAATATACGCAAACACCAAAATCACCAACTGGTTTTCTTTGTCTGTACAGTAGATACGCCAAAAAGGGACACTCTTTTAACCAAATATTGCGTCGAAGGAGGAGTGGCTAGTTCCACCACATATTTATATAACTATCTAGCTATCTATTTGAAAATAATACTACGATATTGGTTTTGTTATTTTTACTCGATCCCGGAAGGCACTTGACACTTGCACCGTTCGAGCGAACCTTCATTAACACGTGTATTAAATATCTTGCGTGTGACCTTTCTTTGTCATTCCTCAAGCGAAATTCGAATTAATACTTGAGTATGGCTTCGGCTCACCTGTCACCATACACCTCAAGTGTGTTCCCAATTCCCACCATCCCTAAGGATTCTTCTAATCCCGCGTTTCCGCTTACAATACCCTTATACTCTACTAACAATATTTCAAGGACAATGGGGGTGCGAAAAGAGTCTGGGTTTGTTGAAGTTCGAAATAATATCCTTGAAAATGGGGCTGGTTCGGATACGTCGCGATCTCTCCCACGCGTCGTATTTAGTGCCCATTTTTCTCCACAAAGAGCTCTCTCGCCCAGTGAGTTTTCATTGAGTCCTGCATCATATAGTTCAGCAGAGGAAGAAATGATCGTACACGAACAAGAACAGAATGCCATAACCACGCTCGCATCCTTGGCCATCGTGGCCAGGAATATGCAACACCAATCTCCCGCGTTTTCGGTTGCTAGCAGCACCGTATCCAGCCCACCGTCAAGTCCATCTGCCAGCCCGCGTCGTTCATCAAGAAAACCTAAACCCAGCAGAAGATCTAAAGAACAAATGTTGAGTAAACGACGATTATCCGGTCCCGCTACGCGTCTAAGACGACACAAACCTATCATATCCGGAGACGAGGAGAAGGAAGAGTATTATCGTGAACGAACTGCAATAGTACCTGAGAAATTGGATGCTCCACATACGAGGACTCGACGACTTCCTGTAGTCAATGCATACGGTGTGGTGGGATGTGGAGGTTACAATCCTGCTCTCCCGAAGAACCCAAATTATCCTTTGCCTCCGCCGAAAAGCTTCATCACCTCAAAATGGACTCCAAGTCAACATAAAGCGTTCCTTGCCCTATATTTGATGCACGGCAAAGATTTTCCGCTAATCGGTCGACTGATACACAAAACCACGTCCGAGGTGGTAGAATATTATTATCTGTGCAAGCACTCTTATCAATTTAGGTTGGCCAAAAATATGAAGAAAGATTTGGAAGAATACGAGGATAATCTTAATAAGATTGAAGCTCAGGTCAAGGGTTTGGCAAAGATTGCTCAAGGAAAGAAAGGCGGTCGCAAAAAGAAAGTAATTCGCAGTTGAAGAATGGGAATTTCTTTCTTTTCTGGTAAAGTTCTTGAAGAAGGTCGTTTAAAGAAACGACGTTCTCTCGGGAGATTTTATATGAGATTGGAAGAGATCGTTTCCCTACGATGGTAACGTTCTTGGTTGGAATTTTGGACTTTTTTTTTTCTTTCAACTAACATGTGTATGTATGTAATTAAAAAAAAAAATCAATCACGTGCATACATATCCCTTAATCATATTATACATATACACGAATGCCGACCGGCTTGGCAAAAATTACCGCTCGATTGTACCTGTACTTCTCTAATTTTCTTTTCTTTTTGTATTCTCATATTATCTTTTAGAGTTTTATATATATTATATTTAATATTAACTTGGGTTCCTTTCTTGGACGATTTATTTAATTTCAATTGATCTTGCTTTTTAATTATAATATATTTTTTTTCTTTGTATGTATACTTGTAACTTTTTTCTCTTTTTTAGAATTGGAGGTTTTTCTTATCAAGGCTTCCACAGAAAAAAATTACTGTATTTTTTTTTTTTAATAGGCAGAAAAAAGAAAGATTCATTCGTTATATTTATTTATATCCTTTCTTTATTTATTATATTTTCTCGACGTATTAAGGTTTTCTTTTTGGCGGTGATTTGGTTAGCCGGTGAATAAAAAGATGCCAAAGACATATCAATCAATTATAGACTTATAATTTCGCGTTTGTATAGTTCTATTTGTTTATGTATTTATCATTGGTTCTTTTTTTCTTTCTCGTCCACTATTCAACATATCTCCAATAAAAAAAAAAAGTCGAGAGAGAAACACGATACTGTTCATTGAGAATTACATTGTACGACTTTCCATTCAAAGCGTCGCCATCTTGTGTGATGAAGAATATCACCTTTCCTCGGCGCTTTTCTTCGTGTCGGAAAAGTTTTCTGATTCCAGGAATGATCCTCGAACATTCGCACGTTCGATTTTTTTAGTGCAATGGTTGTGAAGATTTGACACGGGTTCTTTCGTGATTCAAATCTATCGTGGTTTTTTCTCGCTTCCGGGATACATGGAAAATTATCCGGAAAATTCTTCGGAAGCCTGGATACACCGGAGATTTAATTCCGGTTATTTAAAGTCGCTCGGGTTAACTTTACTTGTCGTGCCACCATAGATCTGCCTCTATGATGTCTTTGTGTGAATGTACATTTAAAGCACAGATCAATACATTTTGCGTTCATTCTTGGTTGATTATCTTTTGTGTCGATCATTAACCTTTTTGATAACATTTCGTTATCATTATTTTATTGTATACACGTATATATCATCCAACATACAGTATCATGATCACGATACCTTTCAATTTGTGACCATAATAAGAAATGCAGTCCAATTGAATTATCATATGATTGATCCTTGTATGATATGATTACGAAAAGTAAGGCAATAGAATATATTTTTAACTTATACGGATGGGCGTGGGTTCACGTTAAGAACTCCATGTGTTAACAAATTTTGATTTTTTTTTTGTTTACGGATTTTTTTTGAATTACGGCAATAATTAAAAAAAAAAAAAATTTTTTTTATAAGGTTTAATAAAAACTTACAGTATGTTGCATAATAATGACAAATAAATAAATCGAAATTTGTTTTGGTATTTACCGTATACCCATAAAAATCAAAGCTTTTTTTTATATTGTAATTTATTGTATTCAAAATACTGTTTATTTTGAATGCTTAAGATGAAGGTTATATGTATATATATATTTAGTAGGCCTATTTTACACTTTAAAAATAGTTTTATACACATCACGTTGATAGATATTATTCTTTTGGTTAACTTTAAAAATAGATATCTCTTTTTAATAATAACATTTAGATATTTTTCTGAATATTCATCATTTTTAAATCAATAAAATTATATTTGTATTTGTATTTGTTTTTTTAAAGAATTTATTTAAAAATTTGGATTTGATTTGATTTGATTTGAAATTTAATTATATTGCATTTTTTTTTAAAAAAAAATCTATTAATTTGCAAATTGCTTAATGATATTATATATAATCTGTTGCAAAAGTCTTTGAACTAATCTTTTTAATGATTTTATAATTATCTTTTTCAAAAATTTTATAAGATAATTATAATTTTTGATCTATAGTTTATACATGATAGCTTACAAAAATAACTGATAACTTGAATAAACATACTGTAATTAATTATAATATTCTTTTATAATAATCTATAAAAAAAAACTTTAAAAAAAAACTTTAAATATTCAAATTTAAAAAACTTGAAATATATATATATACTGTATATATATATATATAATTTCTTTAAATATAATATTTAAATTAATATATTTTTTTAATATTGAATTATTTTATTGTAAATTATTTTAAAAAATAATTAAAATATTTTAGATTAATATACAAGTTATAATTCAATTAAACATTGATGGTTTATACAAATTTTAGATTGAAATTCTATATATAATGTGATGCAAAAAAAATCAGAGTTTTTTTAAACCTATATTTTTATTAACAAATCAATATAAAATTATTTAAATATTATAAAACTTTATAAATTTGTGTTTGAAATAAAAATAAATGTTTTTTTAAAAAAAAATAATAATAATAAATATTTCTTTATTATAATTTTTAAAAAATTATTACCATTAATGTTATTAAATTAATTAATATAATAATTTTATATAAAAATATTTATAATATTTAAGAATATAAAAATATTTAAAATTTAAATAGAATTGAAATTTTTTAATTATTATTTTTTTTTTTTTTTTGAAGAAGCAAATAGCTATCACATTATTATTTATTATTATAATTTTAGACTTGTGGATTACAAGATTTACAATGTGAAAAGCATGACATATATCTCTCTTTGCTAGGAAGAGTTAAATGCAGGACCTGTAAAGGCCACCCCTACGCTCCTTGGCACCATTCAAGGAAT